TTCATTAAACGTTTATTATTCACATAACATTCACTCTCATCATCGGTAATCTTATACAATAAACACATTATCTCGCTCTTAATTCACTGTTTAAATAAGAGTTTTGTCAGACAGGTTGTGTTGCAGAGGTTTCCCATGGCTCTGGTTAGTCAGAGTCCGTAGGTGCACTCTTCTTCCAGCTGTCAACCGCGTCGTAAACGGCCTGCTCAAAGGTTTCATCCACAAGTTTCGTCCTGAGTTCAGTCAAGCCTTCCACTATGTACATCTCATCTCTGAGCTCACACAGAACAGTGTCGACAACACCCTGAATTCTTTGCAGATGCGGGGTTAAACCGAACTGCTTCAAGGTTCGGGCCAGAATGAGTTTTAGATCAGGTTTAGACAGTTTATGCGACAGTTGTTCAAAACATCCCAGAAAATAGTACGCAGGTGCCTCATAGAGACATGAATGTTGTGTTTGCGAAGGATGATCGACCTGACAACTATAACAATATTTCTTCAGCTGTCTGTCAACCAGATGCTCCAGAATTATGGCAACAACAGCTTATGACCGGTCACACCGATGCAGCTGTCGACTGTGTCCGAGACGGCTTCAGAAGTTGTAGCGTCAGATGGTCCAGCGTGAGGAGGTCTGTACTTTGCCAGGAAAGTGAGACTATGGTAGCCGAGTTCTGTACAGAATTTGTTCACCCAGGTAGCATTGTCTGGCGACGTCCCCGGCGCGGATGCGGAGTCGTCGCATACAAAACTAGGAGGAGCTGAAGTGTTTTCTTGGGTCATGTTGGTGGCGATATCGCTTGAAGTGTATTTCCTCTGAGAGTACGGGGTCGTCTGTATTTAATGATTATAGAATGTAGGCGGAGCTACATGAACCCCTCTCCGACTGGACACGCACCATTCAGGGTGAAACAATCTCACTTTTAAGTTGTTGTATCTGTCAAACGCCTCGCACCACTTAAACAATTTGTCTATCTTACCGAATATGTCTTCTAACGCAGACACGTCTTTCCATTGAAACAAAAATTTAATGGTATAGTATTTGAGATGATCCTCTTCTGTCTGGCGCCGTCCCCGGTGCGGATGCGGAGTCGTCGCATACAAAACTAGGAGGAGTTGTATTTTCTTGGGTCATGTTGGTGGCGATATCGCTTGAAGTGTATTTCTTCTGAGAGTACGGGGCATCTGTATTTAACGATTATAGAATGTAGGCGGAGCTACTGAACCCCTCTCCGACTGGACACGCACTATTCAGGGTGAAACATTCTCACTTTTAAGTTGTTGTAGCTGTCAAACTTTGTCTGTCTTACCGAATATGTCTTCTAGCGCAGACACGTCTTTCCATTGAAAAAAAAATTTAATGGTATAGTATTTGAGATGATCCTCTTCAGATATCGGCCAAGCGCGTTCAGGTAGGTCCGAGCTGTGGTCGCTACAAAGTACATAAAACGTAATCATCAGCGTACTTGTTAACGTGATCCCCGAGTACTCTGTACTGCATACCTGGAGTGATACCGTTCCACTCCCCTATGAACAGAGGGTCATCGCACCCGTCTTTTAGATCACGCCAGACATAGTTGTAAAATAAACACCAATATTTTACAGTGAAAAACAGCTCAGGCTCGTCGCACGTGTCGTATGTGAACCTCTCATCATTGTCCACGGTACTCAGTCTGACCTCCCAGTTGCTCTTGTCAAAGTTGTAACTGCAAATAAGATTACCGGATAAATGAAACTCATACTTAACATTATCCAAAGGTTTGTGGAGGAATTTGGTCAGACACGGTCCATGTTTCAACTTCCTCGGTGCCAGAGTAAGATCACCCATAGCAAACTCAACACTCTTCTCAGGAGTTTTAGGTGATGATACCTCAGCCATTGTTACAGAATAATTTCCTGTTTCTTCAATTCACAAAAGCACCGTTTGTATTTTGCGTCTAGGTAAGATGTTATTCTCAACAGACCCCTTTTTAAACACACGTTACAACCCATTTGGGTGATTATCACTCCTCCGCTGTTAGGGGATGGGTTTGTAGGTGTAGCCTGACCTACGCGCCCCTGAGCTCATTCCGAGTTTTGACAGCAGCGTGTGAGAATGTATCAGCGTAAGATACACGGGGTCTTTTTTCTTTTGTTTAACTTGCGACAAACTCAAACTAGTTTTTAAATTGTAATGAATGATAGCATACAACATAGATTTTGACAAGTATCTTAACCTGTCGCTTAACGTTTTTTATTTTCTAACTGGTAACAAGCTCTAACTTTTAAAATTGTACAGAGAAAAACTGACGTATTGTTTAACGATCGTATCTGGAAGGATATTTTTTGTTTTAGATCACGGTGAGATAAGTCAGCATTTTTATTTTATTTTCTAACTTGTAACAAACTCTCAAACTTTTAAATTGCAATGTTACAAGATTTTGACTGTCACGTACTGTTTAACGAACGTATCTGATACTTTTTTTTTGTTTGTTTTAGATAGATGGTCAAAATTTTTCTTTTATTTTCTAACTTGTAACAAACTCTAACTAGTTTTTAAATTAACATACCTTAACTATTCGTCTAAACCCGTTTTTTACTCAATTTTGTCATATAGTCGACTATACTCTCTCTTGCAACCAAACAAAGAAATGTGAATGGTGTCATCTACTATCTGAACAAAATGACTAAATCTAGTGGAGAAAAGAAAAGGTCATTTAAAACAGTATATTTACAAAACTATTTTCTGTATTCATTAGAAACTGTACTTTTCTTGTAAGATGTTCTCTATTTTCTTAGTGATTTGGTCCCTTGAGTTACATAAGGGTTTTGTGCACGCATAAATCCTGTTTAAAGATTATGATTGAAATGTATCTATAGCTGTTCAAGAGCGTGGAACATCCTCAAACTTTACTGAATGCGTAGCTTTCAGTGCAGTGGTTAGATACAGTATGTTTCAGTTGTAATAGTTGTAAGTATAAAACAGCCAGACTTACTTTTCATGTTGACGGTTCATCGTATGGATACGGAGATGGTTAATTGTCCTAAAAGAAATAACAATTTAGTCAAACACTCTCAAGTAAAAATTTTCTTAATTTTCATTTATTTCTATAAACACTGAATGCTGACGGTTCTCAAAGAGAAGTACTCACCTTAAGACATATATAGTCCGACAAACAAAATGTGAACAGTGTCATCCGTAATCCTGATCATCTGTAAAATGCCAGTCACAATAGATCAAGAGGGATTTTCTTTATTCTCTATGCATTATGGCACTTTTCTTATAGGCCTCTTGAATTTACATGTGCATTTTGTACTCACATAATTCAGATGAAGATTATGTTTGGATATTATGTTTGGGGTCTGTATTGGGGAAAATCATGGACGATAATCTTTATTCTATATCTATTTATTTGAGTCAAAAATAATAACCTAAGGAAATGGTAATAAACACGAAAGACATGAAACAATGGCACTCATGCAAAAATATTGTATAATACATGTTGAAGCGTACTCACATGTTCCTTTCTTTTTTAGTAAGGAGCTTTGTATGGATACCTGGAGATCACCGTTAAAAACATATTAACATAAAACATTTGTAACCCATACTGGTTTTAACAGTGAAACTAGAATTAAGACATGTAGGCCTACTCAGTGAATGTTAAAAACCCCATGGAAAAGAATTTGAAATTAATAATTTTGAAAGAACAGCGATGTGTTATCTGTTGTAGTTAAAATTTGTCTGACAAAAGTGTCATTAATTCTTTGTAGAAATAAGAAAAGTAAAATCATATACATCATATACATATAGTTAATTATTTTCAGGAGGAATAGTTCAGATTCATTGCATTCAGTGCACCCTGCGGGGCAACATTCTTTGATGCTGCTGCTTTGTTGACATTCCTGTGACTTTAAACTGCTCTTTGGCAAGTGTTTGCGCTGTGTATCGGCCTCCTCCGTTAGACCAGTTTTTTTCTATGTGCATTTGTTTTGTTTATTGCTGATTTATTGATTCTTGCTTTGTGTTTGTATTTGTTCTTTAGTCTGTAATTGCTTTTGTGTTTCTTGTATTTTTGTTTCTTATGGTTTAACCCTCTTTCAGTGTGATTTTGCTTTATCTATATTTCTTTTTTTCTTCTGCTTGACCTGGGTTTGTTTGTATTGTTTTGTTGTTTACTTTATTGGTATATTTATATGAAATTGTAGGGAACAGCTACCTTTATTGGTATATTTATATGAAATTGTAGGGAACATCTACCTCGATTTGATGAGACATTTTTAACCTCATAGCAGGTGTCTTGATTTTCTTTTGGATTTTGCATTTAAGTCTTAAGCATTGTACAGTTGTTAGCATTATTTATTTTGTTTTGAGATTATTTGGTTAATTTTGTCTTCTATTGCAGGAACCGAGGCTTCCAGGCAGGCCGCTAGTAGGCTTACCTGAAGGGTTGTTAGCCTCCCCCGCCTTGGTGCGAGTGAGTGGAGGCTCAGTTTATGTGCCGGTGGTTAACATGGGCACGTCTGATGTCCTACTCTTTCCACGCAGAGTTTTAGGTACTCTGGTTAGAGTGCATGTTGTTAGTTTGCCAGCGGGTGTTACTGAAGTTAGACCCTCTACAGCAAATGTCTATTCTCAAGCCACCCTAGCAGTTAGTTCCACGGTTTCAGAACAGATTGCAGCGGTGGACCTGACTGCATTGCCAGCATTAGAACAGGGCAAGGTAAGGGCCTTGCTTAGGAAGTATCAGACAGTGTTCTCTGAACATGATTGTGATTTGGGATGTACAAGTCTCATCTCTCATGATATCCCACTGTTAGATGATGTGCCAGTGCGGCAGCGACATCGCCGTGTACCTCCCTCTGAGTATGAGGTTGTTAGGGCCCACATTAATCAACTGCTGGAGTCTCAGATAATCAGGGAAAGTTGTAGCCCGTACGCCTCTCCAATTGTGTTGGTAAAAAAAAAGGATGCTTGTGCGTTGACTACCGCCAGTTAAATGCCTAGACTAGACGGGATGCATTTCCCTTGCCTCGGATTGAGGAGTCGCTGGATGCGTTGACAGGGGCATGTTGGTTTTCCACCATGGATCTAGTTAGTGGGTATAACCAGGTTCCTGTCACAGAGGGGGATAAGCAGAAGACCGCTTTTTGCACCCCATTTGGCCTGTTCGAATGCAACCGAATGCCGTTTGGGTTGTGCAATGCCCCCTCTACCTTCCAGCGATTTATGGAGAGGTTATTCGGGGACCAGCAGTGCCAATCTTTACTCTTATATCTAGATGATATTGTGGTGTTCTTCAGTTCTATTGCTCAGCATTTGGAGAGGTTGGAGGTCGTTTTAGGCCGTCTGGACCGGGAAGGGTTAAAGGCTAGGCTGGAGAAGTGTGCCTTCCTCCAGCAAGAGGTGAGATATTTGGGTCATGTTATCTCTTCCAGGGGAGTGGCAACCGATCCTAGTAAGATCGAGGCTGTGGCCCAGTGGCCTCGTCCCTCTAGTGTCACAGAATTGCGACCATTCCTGGGTTTCTCCAGCTACTACCGGCGGTTTGTAGAGGGGTTTGCCAAGTTGGCTGCCCCTCTAAATAAGCTGGTAGGGGAGTTTGCTGGTGTAAAGTGTAAGCAGACAGGTAGGAGCTTTGCTAGTGCCTGGAGTGAGAGATGTCAGGTGAGCTTTGATGGGTTAAAAGAAAAACTTACCACCACCCCAGTACTTGCATATGCAAACTTCTCTAAACCCTTTATCCTAGAGGTGGACGCCAGCCATCAAGGTCTAGGGGCAGTCCTTTCCCAGGAAAATGAGGGTAAGGTAAGACCAGTGGCATACGCCAGTCGCAGTTTAAGGCCCACTGAGCGCAACATGTCCAACTATAGCTCTATGAAGCTGGACTTTGTTGCGCTCAAGTGGGCCATGACAGAGAAGTTCCGCGAATACCTGTTGGGTAATAAGTGTGTGGTATTTACAGATAATAACCCCCTTAGCCACCTGAGTTCTGCAAAGCTTGTTGCGACTGAGCAGCGTTGGGCTTCTCAGATGGCGGCCTTCAATTTTGATATCAAGTATCGTTCAGGTAAGAGTAATAAAAATGCAGATGCACTTTCACGGAGGGACCCCTTGGAACCTGGTCTGTTGGATGGGTTGGCCCCAGGCACTGCAATCCCTGAGTCATTGCGGCCGTTAACTGGGGTGGTTGCTGCTGGAATAGTGACCCAATGTGTAGTTTCTACGCTTCCTGGTTATTCAGCCGATGAGTTGGGTTCGTTGCAGGCAGCTGACCCAGTTATCCAAGAAGTGTTGCGATTCTGGAGAAAAGGTACTCGCCCGGGTCCTGATGAACGACGGCGAATGACTAAGGCAGCCTTAACATTGCTCCGTCAGTGGGACCGTTTGATGGAGTGAGGTGGTATGCTTTATCGCAGGGTTCACTGCCCTAATGGTAAAGAGGAGGGGTTGCAATTAGTATTGCCTGTTGCCTTGAGGTCCGAGGTGTTAAGGCAATTGCACCAGCAACACGGACATCAGGGCAGAGAGCGCACCAACGAATTGGTGAGACAGAGGTGTTATTGGCCGGGAATGTTCTCAGATGTGGCAAGTTGGTGTCAGGAGTGTGATCGGTGCCAGGCAGCTAAGGACACCCAGCCACTTGCTCAGGGTTTTATGGGACGGTTATTGTCATCTAGGCCAAATGACATTCTTGCGGTGGACTTCACTGTTTTGGAGCCCACAAGCTCTGGCATTGAAAACGTCTTTGTGATGACTGACGTTTTCAGTAAGTATACCCTGGCTGTTCCAACCAGGGATCAGCGAGCCAAGAGCGTTCTGCATTCGGACCAGGGTAGGAATTTTGAGTCCTTGTTAATGCAGCAGTTATGTGAGTTCTACGGCGTGGAGAAGTCTCGTACCACTCCTTATCACCCGGCCGGTAACAGCCAGTGTGAACGTTTTAACCGCACCTTACATAATCTGTTGCGCACTCTGCCAGTGTCCAGGAAACGAGATTGGGTAGCTTGTCTTCCCCAGGTTGTGTTTAGTTATAATAGCACTCCTCATCAGGCCACAGGGGAATCGCCACACTTTTTGATGTTCGGTCAGGAGCCACGACTGCCCGTTGATTTCCTGTTGGGGAGAGACCCACAGCTAAGAGAGGGTAGTGTGCATGACTGGGTCTTGGAGCATCAAACGAGGCTCCAGGTGGCCTTTGCAGGTGCACGTGAATGGTTGCAGGTCATTGCTGAAAGGCGCAAGGCCCATCATGATCAGCATATCCGAGATGAACCACTGGTGCAGGGTCAGCTGGTGTACCTCCGTGATTATGGGGTAAGGGGCCGCCATAAAATCCAGGACCTGTGGAGCCCAGTGGTTTATCAAGTCAACTTGGTCCACGGGAGTGGGTGAGTGTTACGGGACCAGTTCATGCTATTGGGCCAGGACGACAGGTTCCAGCTAGGGATACAGACAGTTTGCAGGAGTCGCAGCCTGAAGGCCTGTGTAGGCCCGATGAGGGTACTTTACGCAGGACAAGACGTGTAAATGCGGGCCAGCATCCAAATCTATACCATCTTCCCCGTGCAGTGGGAGAGACTGGTGGGGCCTCTCTGCAGCAAATACATGGTATGGTGGCAGGCATTTTTAGGCCTTGGGATTAGGTAATGATGACATAGTAGTAGGATCATCTGGGCGACAATCCGTGAGTGGGGGGGTAGATTGTAGTGGGATGGACAGTGGGTGCATTGGTTCTTTAAATATGCCACAAATGCATGAGTTGTCCAATCATATACTTTCAGGGGTATATAAAAGGGGACTTTTAAGGCGCCATTGTGTGTTGGAGCACCGATTGTGCGTCACTGCCCGAGGCCCGCCCATTCCGGTTTTGGCTCTTCCCTTCTCACAGGTATGTGTTTGCTAACTAGTGAGCATCGAGAGGTGTGCTTGAAGTAACTCGTTTTATTCGGATTGTAGTTTTCCGACGGGCAAACATCATAGTGGTTAGCTGGCGGTTGCCTTTCTCATCCAACATGCTCCAGCTGTAATCCCGTGCCTTTTCGCCGTGTTGATGTCCGTTTGCGTGTGCGACTGGACTCGTGACTATAGCGACAGCATGAAGGTATGTGCAATTACCTCTATTGATGTATAGTATTTTATGTGGTAAATAATTTTGCGGTTAATTATTTTCAGGAGGAATAGTTGGATTAGGATCCATTGCATTCAGTGCAGCCTGTGGGGCAACATTCTTTGATGCTGCTGCTTTGTTGACATTAGTTCCTGTGACTTAAAACTGCTCTTTGGCGTGTGTTTGCACTGTGTATCGGCCTCCTCCGTTAGACCAGTTTTTTTCTATGTGCACTTGTTTTGTTTATTGCTGATTTATTGATTCTTGCTTTGTGTTTGTATTTGTTCTTTAGTCTGTAATTGCTTTTGTGTTTCTTGTATTTTTGTTTCTTATGGTTTAACCCTCTTTCAGTGTGATTTTGCTTTATCTATATTTCTTTTTGCTCTGCTTGACCTGGGTTTGTTTCTTTTTTTTTTGTTTACTTTATTGGTATGTTTATATGAAATTGTAGGGAACATCTACCTCGATTTGAT